ACCACTACTACTTCTACCACTACTACTACCACAACAACTACAACTACTGACACTACGGCGACGACTGCCACCACCACCAACACCACCCATTGGCGATCAAAATGATGGCGACGTAATATTGTCGAAGGACGGCACTGAGGCTTGCACCACTGCCACCAGCACTATGACATTGACTGGTAATTGTGAGAAAGGGCCAAGAAGCTCGCCTGGAGGCGGGTCACTGTTCCCCGGCACCTGGTGCCGAGCCTTCCTGGCATCAACCAGGGGCGCACCATGGAGGAGACAGAGCATTGCATGCTGTGGGTTTCGTGGTTTGAGCCGTCCTTCTTTTGATTGGGGCTTGGGCGGTGTTGAGGTGAGAGAATGTCTAGCCTTGGCTAAGATTCCAAGGCTTCCATCTGGCAGGGTTTCCGTAGATTTCGGAAGCAGAGCTTAGAGTCCTTGTATAAGGGATCCTTGACCCTACCTGCCTTCATCCCACCCGTTGCATGCGGCTTTGAAGAGCAGCAGCCTGGTATGGGAGCCTCAACACTGTCATTCCTTGGATCGTTCAGTCTGGCCAGGGGTCGGTTTCCTTTCCTGGCTCCAATAGCTCTAGATTTTACAGTAGAAACCCCTGGAACTCGTAAGAAAAGCCTGAAGCCGCAGAAGGCCTCAGATCCCATGTCCCTCAGACCTGCAGCCGTCAAAAACTCGATTTAGTGGTTTCCGCTTTGCACCATACAGGGGACTGCCCCCTGTCAACACCGGGTTGTTACTATGGAGGCCTGAAGGACTTGCAATAACGTCCCCTTATAACAGTCACAGTCCCGATACAATCATACGAGACCACTTCGCGGTTGAGGAGGCTTCGGGGCTCCGGCCCTAAACCCAAACACTCAAACCGTTTGGGGCCTCCTCGGCAGGAATGGGAGTGGCGTCAGTGCGGCATCACCATGCCGACATCCCGGAGAGTGCGAGTGTGCAGGGTTTGGGGCTCCCCCTCACGAGAAGATCTGTTGCTTGGTCTTATTCTTGCATGCTTAACCGCCTACTCCGGAAAAGGTCGCGCGGCTGGGAGCATTACGACCACCACTCGCCAGAGGCAGGTGAGATGTGGGTCCGAGAAACTCTCGTTGCACAGACGGTGAGATACAGAAGACAACCGAGTAAAGACATATGGCATTGATGCAACTCAACCGCATCGCAGAGCTTGGTGATGATGGGTCGTGCTCTGCCATGCCGGCCTGCTACAACGCCTGCACTGAGGGGGCCTTTCTGATACATTCTCCAGCCGGCAAGTGGAAGCTGAGCACGTACCTTCCCTTGCATCTACCGTACCTGGCCCGTCCCGAGTCGAACAGACCTTAGTTCAGATCGTAGTCCAATGTAGTCCATATAATGCCTGTCATGCCAGACAAACTGAAGCGAAAGGCGAACGTGCTGCTGTTCCGCCGAGTGCTCGGCACAGATCCCAAGACTGGGCAGCCAGTGCCTCAGCAATGTGGTTTCGGCAGTCCTTCAACGCATCTTCCATCGTCTTCCACGGTTCATTGCGTCTCAAACGGGAAAGTATGCGTTGTCCCTCCCTCTCTCTCTCTCTCTAACTTTGCCGCCCATCTGACCGAACCAGCATTGCGCAGGATTCCACCACAGATGCAGATCAAGGCCCGCGCCTCGAGGTTCAACCGCGGCGAACACTGGGGTACTGTGTCGTTTCAGGGTTGCTCCCAAAGGATTCCCCAAGATGGCAGACATCTTTCTTCGGGGCATGCTGACTTCAGAATGCTGAAGACTTTTCGATGCGTCGTCGTGAGTCGTGAGAACTCAGGTTCGATCAGAAGGTTCAGAGTCTATGGGCAGTGCTGTTCAGTGTTGCATCCGCACGATGCTCCAGCCTCCATCAGATCACCGTTTGACGGAAGAAACTGATGCATGCGCGCGGTCACCAGTCGTGAGCAAGTGTTACTGATTTTCCAAGACTTTAGTTGTATTCTTCTGAACATCTACTGGTAGCTGTTTAACCGTTTCTTTCCCCGGGTATCGCGAGCGGGAAGCAGATGCTACTGCCTAACAAAGGGAAGCCGGTGCTACTGCCTAACAAAGACTCACCTCATTCCTGGCCGGAGGGAAATGAACCGTAGACCCCTTTCAGCCTTTCAACGTCGAAACTCAAACCCCGAACCTTTAAGGAAAAATAGTCCCTCATTAATGCCCTAGGCCCCATACCCGCAACCCAGCAGCCCACCTTAAAGTCGAAAGCTCAGGTGGCAGAAAGACTGGCCTACATCGAGAAATTGGAGCAGGTACTTCATGAGGGTCAGCATTTCTTCGTCCGGGCTTTGGGGATTTAAGGCTTTAGGGTTTGGGGTCTTTGGTACTATGAGTTGAAGTCAATGCGGATGGTTTGTGATGCGGGGGATGGCAGGGTATGGCACTCCGCAGCTTGGGAACCCACATCGTCCCCTTTCACCAGCAGTGCATGTGGGTTTTTGTGCAGCCTGCATTCCTCCTCCACACTTGTAAGGGTGCTTCGAGATGACAAAGACGCCGTGGTGTTTGATGACCGTTGCGGGCGCATCCGTCCACAGCTGCCTCACCCAGAAGTCCTGGGAAGGCCTGTAGCTATCCGAAACTCACCAGGCGACTTCTTGTTGTGCTTGGGGAGTATTATGAAGCCAGATCTTCTACTTTCTGTGAATGGCCCTGCCCGCACTGACCTTGCAATCGGACAGTGCCAACACCTGTTGTCGATGATGAAGATGACGATCACGTGTTGGTGATGATGGAAGCGACAGATTGGTGCTCGCGTGTCTGAGTATCACCGAAACGGAAAATGAAAACTCATGCCTGAAACCGAGGGACTCTTCCGAAGAAGTCTGCCGGACACGGCGGACAAAATGAAGGGCCGAAGCCATAGGCCTTCCAGCCAATTGCAGGTTAGGTCGATCTTTTTGCTTCCCCCACTTCCCCGGTCACAAACAACTCCATCGAGTCCACCTACCGTAGAAGCACCTGCAAGCCTTCGTTGCGCTACCTGCAGGTTAGACAACAGATGATCCAGGAGCAGGCCACTTTCTGAACTCTACTTTGCGGCCAGCAGTAGTAGCAGTAGTAGTAATTAGTAGTAGTAGTAGTAGTAGTAGTTGTTGTTGTTGTAGTAGTAGTAGTTGTTGTTGTTGTTGTAGTTGTTGTTGTTGTCGTTGTCGTTGTCGTTGTTGTTGTTGCTGTTGTTGTTGTTGTAGTTGTAGTTGTAGTAATGATAGTATGAATGGTCGTCGTCGTCGTCGTCGTGATCGCGCTCGTGCTCGTAGTGGTAACCTGTCTCTTGTCATTGCTGGTTCTATTGCTTCTGCCTTCTTAATGCTGTGATTTGCTTTCGCACTCTGGAACTTTGACCTTTCAACATTGGTAGTTTCATGGTTCGAAGTTTGAGAATCTAAACCCTGCACCAGTTGTTTGATGGCTTTCACGGTATCCAGTTGCTGTGTTCGGGGCTTAGGCTCCGGATGCCGGACAGTCAAGTCAAGTGTTTCTGGTGCGGCTTCAGGGTTTTGGCTTCACCAATTAAATCCATGTTTTGGGATCCGTGCATTGCATTCAGGCTTCAAGGCGTAGGGTTTTATACGCAGGACTCAGAGTTTAGCGAGCGAGGCTTCAGCGTTCTTAAGTAGTGGGATAAATGTCTTGGGTATTCTTGGACTTGGAGGTGTCCGAGTTCGGGCGTTGGGCTTTTATGGTTTTAGGGTCAAGGGGTTTTGCGGCTCAATGACGAAAGTGCCGTTAACGTACTTCAGCATTGATTAAGCCTCGGAGGCGCGCAAGCAGGAGCAGTACATGAACGACATGTACTTCTGAAGGGTGCTCCGGGACTTTACCATGGCAAGTGCCAGACGAGTGGATCAAAAACAGAGCAAGAGCAAAGCATTTCCGCAGGCTTAGCCATCGCCCATCAAGACACGGACCGGACCAGATAGTACAATGATGGTAGAACTTGATCCCGGGCAGTTTCACCGCATAGGGGACGGCATGTCTTGCCTGCAATAATTCGATGAGTTAACAGCCGTAATTCGATGATTAACTCGGCAACCTTAGCTTCTGTGTGATCTTCGCACGGTATCGTCCGAAGGTGCGGAGGAGGGAACGGAAGAGTTTCAAATTCACGGCTGCCGACTTCGGCACCCCTATAACCGCCATCCATTCCTTTGCTGGAACACAGTGGCCAAGAGCATCAGATAGAGTACTGGCATCCTTGTCCCGGTTTCGGTTATTCCGCATATCACATGTGTCTTGTATAGAAGCAATTAGCACAACGAATCAGACTTTGACAACTACTGCTTGAATGAAAGCAGTTCTGTGAAGATCACTGCCCTCATGATCGGAGCTGTGACTACCACTACCACTGCGGCTAATTACTGCTACCACTACACTACGACGAGCTGTCTGTCACGGATGTCGCTTTAGCTTTTACTTCGCCACGAGTGTTCGTATGGGTTCTTCGAGTATTCTGGCAGTGGCTACATTCTGCTTTTCATCAGAGAGGTATGGAGACTGTCCATGGTATCCGTGCTTGCTACAAGTACTGTACTACTCTCAAGGCTAGCACCTTGCCAATACTAAACCCATGCTCCTGTTGCTGCTGTCCCGTTTTCACTACGTCAGCTTTCTTGCCGTTGAGACCACTCGTCTTTTTGCTTCGGTGGTGACGGGTATCTTTTGACGAATAAAAGTTGCGTGAGAAGAGCACTCCCGCAGTGTTTGCTTTCAATAGTGTCGAAGTTCTAGCTCGTGGCTACTGTGGATATCAGGACTGATTCCGGTACTGTCGCCTGCCTTCCGGTACTGGAGTATGAGGATGCTTACCAAAAAGTCTTCTCGGTACGATACATTCTGTTTGCTACAGCTATGGCCTTCGTAATGGACCTAAATTTTACGAGCCGAACCTTGCAAGGGTTCCTTCCTATCCTGCTCCTTCTGGCACAATTCGATAGCCGAGGGGTCGGAAGCCGGGACAGCCCGGGCCACCAGTCTAGTGCGAGTCCATGACGGTGTAGAAGACTACACAGTAGTAAGATGAGAAGCACTAGAGAAAGTTTTTGCGGAGCGGCCACTGATGGCCACTTCGTCAGGAAAGAAGTGTGTGTTGCTATGCTTGGGTTCCTGGTTACGGATATCGTGGCACATCCACACCATGGATGACTCGACTATAGATTTCGTGCCTGAAGGGGCGTAGGGCTTCAGAGCGCTTACGGTTTCCCACTAAACAGGGTTTTGGTCGCAACAATCCCCATCCCTTAAACTTCGAAATCCTGAACATACGCACACTCGAGTGTTGTTGTAAAGGGCTTTTCAGGGGGAGAAAGGTCGTTTCAAGACAACCCTGAACGACGCCGAAAAGTCCACATGCGGAGGCTTCCCCCTAAACTTTAGCTGATGGCACCCCGCAGTGTCGCATCTACTGCCTAACTGACAGGTACTGGCAGGTGCCGTGACAGATCTGATGCTTCCGAGCTTCAGTGGTGCGTGCGCCCCGGTGCCGACTTCGATGCTAATTCGATGGGGATGCAATGTTTCACTGTGGCGGCCAAGCCACCTGGGACAAACGAAGAACGACATAGATCACTGACATCACCTGATTCGGGGGCATCCGAACCGGCGATGCAGGCCTCAAGGCATCAACATGGGAGGGGGCCAGGTGCCTTACGCATCGTGGAGGTCAGAGAAAAAAGTAGTTGCTGTTGAGCTCGCTTCCGACTGGAGATTGTTTGCTGTGTCTTCCAAATAAGTGCCGCCGCGCTTTTTGCGTCATCATCTGTTCTTGCAGTTCGATCTTTGGCGTGCTGTCGCTGCACTGTTGGACCCAACGTTTTGTTAAGGAATGTGAACGTTTGTGCGATAGCATACGCAAACGGCCATTAGAGAGGGAACGGAAAAGGAAGGGAGGAATCGACAGACGGACGGATGAGTTTTATCAAAGCTAGCATCTGCGCCAGTAGATGTGAGGAGTTTAAGATTGAGTGAGTCAGTGAATCAGTGAGCGAGCCTGCCTGCTCGCCTGCCTGCAAGGCTGCCTATCTTTGCCTCTCCCTTTCCTGCTGCGTGCAGCTTTCCTGTGCCAAATAACGGCCAAAGTAGGAGATGCAGATGAATAGATGCATGATGCATGCAAGACTGCTGTGAACTAGCAAAATTCACCCAGCAAGTCGGACGAATGGACAACCTACAAACTGGGGGGGTGAGGTCGTGACAGAAAGTGAGAGAGCTAGGATCGGCAGACAGGCCCACAGTTGAAGACCACAAACAGGACCACATATAGGTGGTTCCCGAAACTAGGGTCCCTTTTGGGGTCCTTGTTAAGGGTGCCGTACTTGTTTGGTGACCAAAAACGGGACCCTCGTTTAGAGAACTATCCACACATGCATTCGCAAAATACAACGTATAAAGCTTCCTTGCCTGAGAGATGCCTACTGCTGAACCAAACCAAAAGCCTTGTGGCAAGGGCTTTACCGTCTTTGCTTGACGCCGACATCTCATCAGCTGTAGGCTTGGTGCCAGTCCACATCTTTCCTGACCGACACCCAGTCACGAAGCTTCAGCAAGCCAAAACGAAATCCTACTCCTACAGAGTAGGAAAGCCGGCGGTCTTTGTTGCAGTGTAAAGGCTCTACACTACTCTATGCTGGCCATGACCTGCCACACCCTTAAACCATCTCCTGCTTGAGACCCTACGGACACATGAGTCGATGTGCTAGCCAAACTTAATTTGCCGAAGCAAGCCTTAGCCTTTAACTTTTCTAGCTTCGTGGTGCATGCAGAGCCCATCCAGGAGCAGCGACCAAGCCCAAACTACCACACAGCCAGGGTTCCCTAAAACCCCCAAACCCCTGAACCCCTAAACCCCTGAACTCCTAAACCCCTAAACTCCNNCCCTA